GGATAGTCCCGAGAGCCTGTGACTGGCCCATCCAGAGGGAGGCGGCCTCCCTTCCTCCCGCCCTCTCCTCCACACTCCCTTACCTCTCTCCGGCACCACCACCATCCCGCCGGCCCGGATTCAGGGGACCTGCCCACGAGGTCTTTGTTCCAAACCCGGGGAGCCCCCTTCCTCCATTGCGCCCTGGCCCGCCTCCAGGCTGCTCTGCCAGCCCCAGCCGCTCGCAGACCAGCATCGCTCCCCACCTCTCCCCGCCCCTGCCGCAGCTGAGGCCGCCTTGCCTCGGCAGGAAGCGCCCAGCCCGATTTCCTACAAGTGTTTGTCAGAAGGAGGGGGTTTGTCTGCGTGCAGAGGTTAACCCCTTGCAGGCTTTCGCCGGGACTCACAGAAGCTTCTGACGTCCCTGGGACCAGCTCAGTCCAGAACTTCGAGGTACAGACAGGGAGACTACAGCCCAGAGAAAGTCAGAGGCTTGACCAAGCTCTCACAGCATGCAGAAACTAGGAAGAGGCCCCCTGCTAACTCAGCCCTCTGGGAGCTCCTTCCATAGTGCTACCTTCAACCACGCATTACCTTGGTCAAGGCTCCCTCCCTCACCAGGCCTCAGGGCCCACCTGCACAACGAGAGCACAGGCTCACTGCCCTTCTGACTGTGTCCTCTCTGCCCATGTGCTACCCAACATCTTAGGGAGGCTACGATGATTCCTGCCATCTCACCCAGTCCTCACCCCGAGGTGGGTCCGCAGCCAGAGTGGGATTTTCCAGGCAGCATGGAGACAGGGAACTGGCAGATCAGATGGATCTCTCTGTTTTAAGTGTCATCCCAGACTACTGGATGTCAGGGACAGATTCATCCTGATGGTCAAGCTGCCTTTCCACAAGCCCCCCATTCCTTTATTCCCAGGTAGGTGCTTTTCGTGGCATTGGGGACATGGCCCAGGACAGGCCAGGCTCCTGCTCGCCACCCTTGCAGAGACACAGACAATAAACACATACACAATTCCAGGAGAGGGGCGTGAATGAGACAGAACAGGAGAACAGGTGGAAGGGGGTGGCCGTCCACACCCTGGGCTGCTCTCGGTGGAACTGATGGAGAGGAGAGTTATAGAATGGCTAGGACATTCAAACACAGGACTGGAATGAAGGAGAGCTGGGGCAGAATGTTCTGGAAGGACAAGTGCAAAGACCAAAGCGGGAGGGAGCCAGACCTTCCCCAAGAGCAGCAAGGTCTGGGTACCCGGAGCAGAGCAGGCCGAGTGGGAGAGGCTGCAGGGCAGAAGAGGGAGCACAGGATCTGGGCCCCACCATGGCCCAGAGATTCTGAAACAGGAAACAAAAAGAAAAAAGAAACATACCATGCCTCTTTATTGTCCAAACAGCCTTCCAGGTGATTCTGACAGGTAGTCAGGCTTGGGAACGACCCAGTGCGGGCCTGGGTTCGAATCCCAGACCCACCTCCTGCAGGCTCTGGCCTTTGAGGGCTTCACCTTTCTGACCTCAGGTTCTTAGTCTGGGATAAGAAGAGCAGTCACCCCAGGGCTGCTGTCAAGACTGCATGAGACAATGCCCACCAGTGCAGAGCGGGGGTCGGAGCACGCCTGCCCTTGACTGAGCTGCTTCATTACTGCTCCTTCTTCTCTCACTGCTGCTACTTAGGGACAAGCCTCTGGTCTCCTCCAAAGGCTGGATCTTAATGCCTTTCCTCCAGCAAGGCTCACTGAACGTGTCTGAGGAATGAATGGACTTCCTCAAGGTCAGCTTGCAAGTATCTGGCAGAGTCAGGGCTCCTTCTTTCCAGTAATCACTCCCCACCCCCTTCCCTGCCTCCTTCCCACATCTGGGGGGTGGGGACAGCTACGGAGCTGTGGCAGACCCTAATGAGGGCCCTCCCTGCTGGCTCTGAGACCATGCGGGCCATTGTTTGAGGGGCGGGCTCCTGATACCCTGCCACTCACTCATCCTCCCACCCTGGTCATTAACCCAGGCAGTGCTGCCATTAACGCCAGGTGGCTGCCACTGCGGGCCCGCCCCACGGCCCCTGGATAACCCCAAGCCCATCGTAGGGACGGCCACCCAACACCAGGTGGTGCAGCCTGCACTGTTTGTCTCCTTGTGCCTCCACGCCCCATCTACCCGCCTCCCTGTCTTTGCTCATGTGGTGCCCCTCTTAGGACACCATCCCCACCCACAGACCAAAGCAGCAAGTCCCAGACTGAGCTCATAGCATTGCTATCCCCAAACCCACCCGCCCCTTACCCAGGTGTGCATGCCAGGCTTGACTGTCAACCCGGACATGTCCCTTCCCTTATATCCCACAGCCAGACCGTCATCTGCTGCTGGGGACCTCAGTTTCTAAATCTCCCCATCTCTGCCTCCCCGCATGGCCTCCTGCATCCGTTTCACCTGGAAAGCCCTCAGGTCCCCTAATCCATTCCCTACATCCATTCCCTACACTGCACTGATGGCCCTAGAGAAGAATCCACAGCCCAGTCACTGCCTCAGGCTCTCCTCCGGCCACCCTCTCAGCTCTCACTCAGTCCTCCTGCTGCTCCCAGGACAGATCCCACTTCTCCTCCCTGTGACTTCCAGATCTCAGATCCAGTGTGGCCCCTTGGGGACTCCCCATTTGGACTTATACTTCATGTGTGATTATTTGACTAACGCCTGCCTCTTGACTCTGCTGGGAGCTCTGTGAGGTTGTCATCATTGTGTCCCTAGTACCCAGCATACAGGCAGGGATACCCAAGAGAAACTCAGTAAGCACCTGCTGGGTGAGCCATGAAGCCTCACTGGCCACCCAGACCTGACTCATTGCGCCCTAGAACAACCCAGTGAAGCTGGTGTGACACTTCCATTTTACAGCTGGATAAACAGAGGTCCCAAGAGCCCAAGCAACTTGCCCAAGATCACAAGGGTTGATGAGCTCTGGTAGAGTTTCAAACACACAAAGGCCTGGCCCCTAAGGACCCAGCTGGGTGCTGACAGCATTGCAGCCCTCAGAGATAATGAATATCTGTGCACTATGAAATCAAGAGTAGAGCTTATAACTGACTAATTGCAGTTCTCTGAGCCAATGTTCTAACTTCATAACGAGGCCTCAGTTCCCTCAGAGCCTTCTGGTTCTCCAAAGTGCTTAATCGTCCTTCGTAGCGCTAGACGCTTAAGAACAGCACTGCGAAGGGGACAGTACAGGAGCATTATTCCGTTTGCACTGGCCGGGCACAGGTTCACACCTATAGTCCCAGCACTTTGGGAGGACAAAGTGGGAGGATTGTTTGAGGTTGGAAGTTGGAGACCATTGCATAGGTGAGGACGCTGTGGCCCAGAAAAGGGAAGAGATTTGTTCCTGGGCTCCCAGAAGAGAAACAAAATCCTTTGGGCCCGGCTGCCAGGGCTTGAGTACTGTCACCAGTGAACAGCTAGTGGCACCTGCCTGGCCCTGGCAGCCCTTCCCACCAGAGCCCAGCAAGCCTACAGCCATGCCCTCCCTCCAGCCTCCGGGTCATGGTGTTCAACCCTGAAGTGGCCACTTCCCTCCCATTTTCTCACCGCCCCCTTCCACCTCCTCTCCTGTCCTCCCCTACTCCATGGTCATTTGTGAGCCCCACCTAAGTGCTGGCACATTAGCCAGGCTGAAAGGTGGCTTTTTCTTTTAAGTCCTCAGGTGCAGCCCAGGACATGCCCCAGGATCAGGGTGGGCCACACTTGCTGACATGAAGAGCCTGACGGTCTCCCCCTTGCACCATGTCCTGAGGCCCAGGGTCCTGGGGCCCCACTGGGCTTCTCAGCCACACTGGTAGAATCCAGGGCGACTTTAGGAGCCGTGGGGGCTGAAGGCTGTGTCATTCTTCCCTATGCCCCTCCTGAGCTCTCCACCACTCCTTCCCCTGGAAAAGACTTGAAAACCCACGGGCAGGCCACCCACTCCTTCCTGCCCAGGCTGCTGTGTCCACCCCTGCAGTGAAGCCCCACAGGGAGTCTGGGGGAGAGGGAGGCAGGTGAGACTTTCGGGAGTGGACCAGGAAGAATGGATGGAGCCTGGCTGGGGAAGCGGAGACCCAAGCTCCAGCCCAAGTGACCTGGAACAGGTGCCTTCGCTCCTCTGAGCTTTGGAACCAGGGGCTTAATGGGATTATCTCTGAGGTTGTCAGAGATTATCTTCTAACATGGATCCTTTGTTCCATTTGCCCATACAGGCAGAAATGCCATGCTGACAGGAGGCTGCAGGGCACAGGGCTTAAGGCACTGAGAACTCCATGTTCTCCCTTGGAACTGTGTGGCTTGGGCAAGTGGCTTAACCTCTCTGAATCCCAGATTCCGCATTTGTAAAACGGAGATAAAACCTACTTTACAGGAGTCTTGGGTTGACCCATGAGACTATGTACCTAATGTTCTGGGCCCCAGTGCCCAGCAGGTGCAGAGTAACTGCTCAGGAATAAATGACTTTGCCTTTTTGGTAAAGCGACCATATGGTCTGCTACCTGCAGGACCGAGTTTAACTCTCGTGAGCATGGAGGTTCCCCAACATTGACCCCAGCTCTAGCTTTGAGTCCTGGACACGAAATGGGACAGGCAGTTTTCCCAAGCGGAGGGAGAGGGTGATATCTCCCCATGACCCTCTTCTCCGAGGCCCCTACACTAAGACGGGTGTAGGCTGGAACCTATGTCTGCTCTGAGAAGGGAAGAAGGGGGAAAAACAGGCCTTCCCTGGCCCACAGACACAGGGGTTCTGAGGAGGGCATGGCCATATTGAGGACACCTCCACACTTAAATTCATGCTCTTTTCAGAGTCAAACCAAAAAATGTGCATGTGCCAGGAACATGAGGCTGAAGGCAAAACTTTTCTGAGTACTTGCCACACGTCAAATGCCGTGTAAAGACTTCTCCACGGATTAGGCTCTCACTGTTTAATCCTCATAACAGTCCAAGGAGGAAGAATTCTTACTTTATAGGTGAGGAGGTTGGGTTTGATTGACCCGAGCAGTCTGAATCTAGAGAGTATAGTCTTACGTTGGAAATGAAACTCACAGCAGGTAAAAGATTGCCAACAACCTCAGTGTCCCGTAATAGGGGATCATTGAAGTAAATTATGATATTTCCACTCAAAGGAATATTATGTGGCGATTCATAGGCTACTACTGAAGAATATCAAATAATGTCAAAATTCTGATGTGTTAAGTGAACAAGCTAGTTATAAAATAATATCTAGCTTGGTTGAGTCCTTAAAGAAAAAAAACCAGTAAAATATGAGAAAAAGAAGGA